ATAAATGGAAAAAAAACATCAATTGCCCCTTCAGTCACACAACTCTCTCCCTCCCCCGCTCGTTCTGTCTTTCAGAATACATATTAACAGCTACTTTGAGACACTTCATTAGGTTCTGTGCCGCTGCAGCTGCCGCTGCTGCTGCCGCTGCCGCAGTTGCTGCTGTTGCGCTGTCGATTCGAGTTTTGTGATAAGCCACTCGCCCACAAGACTGCCGCACTGGGCAGCACCTCCCCCCGCCCGCCTGCTCTGCTCTTTGTTTGCCACAACATTTTGACGTGGCCGGCGCGCTGATTGAGCGCAAGTGCCGCGCTGCCTGACAGACTGACAGCCAGATACTTTGGGCTTTTAAATGCGCTGCCCCCCCCCCCCCCCTTCGACTACTCCCGTAAGTATTTATATATACATTTGGGCACATTTCTTGGAGTGGGCTCTTAAGCAGCTTCTGAATGATGCGACGCGCCCGGGCCACGTCAAAAATGTCGTCGTCCATCTGCAGGCCCCTCTGCCCCGCTACCTGTCATGTCTCCTGCCGTGTAGCGAATGTTAATGAGCTGTTAAAACTCAACGTCCGTCGTGGACACAGCCCCACATCCCAAATTAAAACTGCAACAGAGCAACAAACTAAACAGTCTGAACTGTTAACTTGTTTGCACTTTGTATTTTTATTTTGTAGTTTTTCACGGCTATAAATAGTTCATTAGCCTGGCTAGAATTGGCTTATAAATGACACTCAATGGTGGGTAGTGTGTAGGCCACTGATTGCATCTTTTGGAAAACGGACACTACGCTAATGAGTCTCATTTAATAGGCTAATGAAAAGACAGTTGCTCTGAATTGAAAAATCAGAGAGCAATTGGGTAAGAGGAACATCAGAGCAACATCAACTCATAATTTAATAAAAATGAGGAAATTAGGCAGTCTTCGTTGACTTAAGCTAATAAGGTTAGAAAACTATAAGAACGGTGCACAACTATGAAATTAAATAGTTACCCATTAACTAAAACTCGTTATAGATAGATTGTATAGCCCAAACCGAACGTATACTAACGATCTTCCTATACTCTCTTCTTTCTGTTTACTTCACACATCCAATTTCAAAGTTTTTATAATTGCCCATTCCATCAAAAAGATGCTCATTAAATTTAATCTCTGCACAAAATTTGCACCTTCTTATGCTTAGATAACTATTATTGATTGTTTTCCTCAAAAGTTTATATTTTCAACAGTTTTTTAAATAACTATTTTGGTTTCACAGTCGGATCGTAGTAAACATAAAATAGCTTGCAGCCTTGGTAAAATGTTCATTGATCTACACATCCATTCAATGATATTCACAATTTTTTGACTTTTCGAATATAAGACTAGTATATTCATTAATCCGCTGGGCTCTTTGAGATATAAAACTTAAAATACTGATGGCACTCGGAGCAGAGTATCCTGTGAATGGGGGCTGCAGCTCAAGCCTACTTGCTTTAAGCAATTATCATGTAAGCTCTTAGCTGTCAGCACCCACTAATGGAGGCCACTTAATAGCCTCTTAGCATTCGCTTCATTTAAGTAAAGCACAGCAAAAGAGTCGCTCGTGCAGCTGGCTGGGCCTTAGCTTCCGCGTTTTCTGATACTATTCGCCACCAAGAGCTCTAAAGTTTCGCCCCCGCGTTACGATTTTCTCAAGTGTCTCGCATGACAATAAGCCGCTACCCAGTTGAAGTGCAGAGTTGTGTGCCCCTAAAAAGACTGAAACCCAATACGCAGTTGATATTGTTGCGGAGTGCGCTTAAGCGGCTTCTGCCTGTCAAGCTCTTGGGTCCCGGGTAAACAAATACTTTGGCGCCCATGGAGGGGATCTCATATTACCCACGGGTCTGCGAGCAGCAATAATTTATTGGGCCAGAGTTATGGCTCTTAGATTAGTTGGCAATAGCCGATGGGAAATTGGCGAGACTAAAGCTCTACAAGTCTTAACAGGCTAAGGGACCTGCTCCCTAAACAATTTGTCTGCTCTACGAATTCCGTGCTGCTGTGCTAGCAATTACTTGTCTAAAATAATTGGCTATGCCGCAGAATTGAAATAAAAAAACATAAAAAAAAAAACAAATAGAGACCGAAACAGAAACAGAGAAATCCAGACCAGACGTCAAACAATCAAAAACTGTCTGCTGACTTTGACTTTGGCTTTGGTTACGGCTTTGAGTGCGGCTGCTTGTTAGGGCAGCGATTTCCGTTTCCGGTAGAGCTGTGACTGGCATTGAAATTGAAAGAAAGAAAAACAAGAGCGTGAAAGGATTTAGCAGCAATCACAGTTTCAATATTAATAGCTGGCTGGACTTTCTCTCCTCGTTTGCCCACCTTCGGAATTTTGGGGTCCGCTGCTCAGCATTTTTGCTGCGTGGGTGCCTTTATGTTAGCTTTCGTTTTGTTTGGTTTCACTTGCAGCCCTTTTGACCACCGCAGACATTGGCTAAAATGGCAACAATATAGCAGCAAACAAAGCGCAAATCGAAAAAGGAACCTCCAATGTCCACACCTATAAAAGCGATTTTTATTTGCCGTCTATTACGACGTTATTGACTGACTGTGTGCCATTGAAGGCTGCGGGCGGGGGCCCGGATCCAGCTGTGACCAGGAGCAGAACAAGCACGTCGTAAATACAAATAAAAAGGGAGCATAAAAATAAGTAATATTCGCCAACGCTTTCGTTTTTGCCCTATTCCCTTTTTTGTTTGCAATTTAACTTTCGTTTTCAATTTTCATGGCCCTTTTTTTGCTGGCCTTTTATTTGCGGCCAGCTGAAAATTATGTAGCATTTGGATTTACTTGGGTTTTATACGGTTCCGCGTTTCCATAAAATACGTAAAAGCGTGTAAAATGCACCTGAGCTGCGTTTTAGAAATACCAGACAATGCCCAGACAATTTGGCATGGGGCTGAGGTGTAAACAATTGGGGGGAAAAATAAATCTTTTGTCCTATTTATTGATATTGGCAGCTTTCTTGTTGTGGGCGTTTATGGCTCCAGGGAATGTATAGCACATTTCAAATTTAAGATTTGATAAATGGAAGCAAGCTTTAACTTATATGTGATGATATGATGTTTATAAACTGACATTTCCAATCATTTAGTTTAAGACTTAGTTCAAATTCACGCTGCTTCCGTTCTTAAAACTAAGATGCACCTCATTAACGAGTAACCCAATCACTCAGCAACTCAGTTTAATAAAGAGTCCTCTGATCGGATGGCTGTCATGTGGATAACGAACTCTTAAAATTGTATTTCTGCTTGAAGATTGTAATAAGCGGCAATTATTAATTAGAATAATACTCATTAAAAACTTGCTGGGGCGCATAAATTTCTACATAATTTGATTGCTGACATGGAAAAGGCAGCGAGTGGGAGAGGAAAGCGACGTATTTTAATGAAATTGCCAAGAGGCAGTCAGTCGCTCAGTCGCTCAGTCGGTGAACCAGTCAGACAGTCAAGCTGCGTCAAGCTTTGCTGCTTATCGATTACATCTTGCCATGCCTCAGAAGCCCACACAGACAGACAGACAAGCAGGAAGACAGACTCACCCACCAGAGAGGGTAGGGGACAGACGAGATGGGGTCGGGGACTCAGCTCATGCTGAAGGCCACCAGCGGCTTAGTGTTTTGGAGTGTGGCAAATAAATTGACATTTATCTGTGTGTAACAAGATCAAGTATACGCAACATTGCCTACTCGAGCCTGTGGCTGCCGGAGTTGTGTTTGCATTGAGCAGAGCTCAGCTGTGATTTTGTGGCCTACACGCTGATACTTTTGCCTTACTTATGCATTTACGGAACACTGAAACTCAAACGGCAGGCGATTCTAATCGCAACACGGCGTATGAGTAATTTATATTGCGTATACTCGCTTTGACCTCGACACACGCAAACAAATTAAAACGGAAACCAAACTGCCAGCATATTCAAGAGCTGAAACTCGTGCTGCACAGCTGGAGCCTGAACTGGAGATGGATTTCGACATGCATTGAGGTTCACGTGCGTCATGTTCTGCTTAGAAGAAACTACCGACAGCTACTTGACATTTGATTCGCCGATTAGTGCGTGGCAACTCGCGCTATGTGTGTGCCCTACACTATTTTGTGGTAGCGTCGCTTGTTGAAGTGCTTTTGAATTGAAATTGCAAATTTAGTTTTTATGGAAAAGTTTGCCAAGAAAAAGTTGAGGGAGGCTTCAGATTGAACTGATGGGAAGCCACAGCCAGGGCTCCACTAAAAAGAGGAGCAACTGAACTAGTTCATTTGGGCAGAACAACATTGTGTTTCCTTTTTATTCATAAGAATTGTAATAAATTATATACGGAAATTGCCCAGTTCCCCTGTTTTCAGATAGTAATTACCCTTACTGTCTCACAATGTGAGCGTAATTAGTTCCTTAACTTTCGAACTAGTTTGCTCAAAAGACTTTCAATTGATTCACGTCGGATACTCATGCAGCCCTGTGTCCATATGCGTGCGGTACTTCTTGGCGTTGGTTATCAGCCATCGTGTTGCACGTTGCACATGCAACTTGTAAGCTGCACCTTTTCGCCCGACTAGTTGAGTTGTTGCCTCAGTTGACAGCGCTGAAAACTTTGCTGACAGGCCAAACTGAAACTAAGTAGCTGCTAAGTAAGTTACCAACATGCAGACTTATGGTTAGTTAGTTTTCCTATGACATGAAAAATGGAACATGATGTCGGCCATCTGATGGCCTTTGATATACTTCAGTCATGGGCATAGACCATATAGATAATAATCTTGTCAGCCATCAAGCCGGCAATTCGAATTGCAAATATATCGCCTGGATGTACAAATACAATTAACTACAACTCAGCATAAAGTAGACGCGGCTCAGCTTGCTCCTTTAAACATTCAATTTAGACTTATTTCTCACATATGAGTGCGTAATGCTCTCACATGCATATATTCTATTTACACTGCTAACCTAGTTTTCTCACACCTCTGCATCTTTTACAGAACTATGCCATAGATTCCTAGCAGACACCTGGCTAAGCAAGTGAACAAGGACAAGGTGAGATTCGTTTCATTTTGCTTTCCATGCCGTAGAATTTGTTGTATAAGCCACAACCTGCATAACGTAATTAGAATCCGGAAATCACACATAAAACCAATTTGTAACTTGAGGAGATGCAGAGCTTGGCAAATTTAAAGCAATTGCCATCAAATTTCCTGTCCACAAAACTGATAGGATTTTAATGCAGCACGGAAATGCGCTCAACGAACCAAAGACCAGGTGAATTCCATTTGCAAAAAGTTCTTTCATTTCCGCAAAGTTCAAAAACCAGAGCAAAAACTCTTAGAAATGTTGCCGAGTCCATAGAGACTGTGTACAAGAACTCAGAAGGCAAGTTCTGATGCTCTTATAAAAAACCCGTAAAAACACGTCATTGTTTTCAACCAATTTCCACTACCCCATTTGTCGGGATAAGACTGACTTTTACTTTACAAATACATGTGAAACCTGTTGTTACTGTTTACTCATTACTTTTGACTGTTGCTGAATATGCTTTCATTTGCGATATTACAAAGCAACAAGTGCTCACTCAACTTGGTGTCGATTACATCTTAATTTACCCTAAATTGCCATGAACGTTTAGCCAGATTTTCGGATTTCTTTTCAATTTGATTCCACAATGGTGTATATTAAATAAGTTCCTCCTGAAATTTTTAGGAATAACTTCAAACAAAATTACAATTTTTTTTATTCTTTTCGGTGAAAGCATAAGGTCGTATTTATTTCTCACAAATTTGACCCTAGTGTGTAATTAAATCAAGTTCGAGAAAAATTAATATGAATTTAATTTTAATTGAAATATTAATAACCAACATTAAAGAACTTTATTTTATTTAAAATGATCTTTGCTCTCTATAAAGTAATTTTTTAATTAATCCCAATCTTGTTAAAAATGAAATTTAATATACAACTGTAAGCATCTCATGGCACTAATTTTACGCGATATTTCATATTTTATTTAATAACATATAGGCAGACCAAATAATACTATATTACGCTTTTTTTTATTTTATTATTACTTTACTTTTAATTCAGTTTTTATTTAAAGTAATTTAATTGCCATATTCGCTTCAGGCTAATACTTATTTAAATTGTTGTATAAATCAAAAAGGTTGGAAATGTACACTTTATTTATTACTGTGTAGGTATTTGGCTGTACTTAAAAAGTTAATTTGTCTGTGCTCTGACTGCAGCATTGCTGCAGTCCGACAAAACGACTGACAGACTTCTTATCACAAAAGTTGATCTAATATGTTTGCACTTAAAATGATTTTTTGTTGCATTCCGCAATCGCTGTGCTGTATTTATATGTAAAATGTAAAAAAATGTTATTTTTCTACTGTCTGGCAACTCTGGTAGCCAGGCGACAAAATGAATTTAAATTACTTTTACGTGCTTCGGCATCACATTGCCCAAAATGACGCAAATCATGAATAAATAAATTTTATGCGTAAATATAATTCAATTACCAAGAATAAAAATACATGAACTGCGATCCCCCATGACAATCTATGTGTGCGTGTGCGAGTGTGTGTGTGTGTTCGTGTTGTGGGCGAATGTGTGATGGTTGCCCGTGTGTGTGTGTGTGTGTGTGCTTTTTGGGCACCTATCGAATGGCACACGAGTTGAGGTCGTTGTTAGGCAGCCGCTTTTGGCCATTTTTAAAATAAAAAGCTGCCAAAAATGATGCTGTCGATTCCTTTATCCAAGCTGGGGACACTTTATCGGCACTTCAATGATTTTCATTGATTTTGTGTGTGTTATTTTTATAAACGCGTATTTTTTGTGTATGCCTCACACCTCTCCAATAGCGATGGGTATGTTATTTATTGATTTGCCTGTCCTTGGGTATTTATGGTTCAAAATGTTCTCGGGAAATTGTGTTACCGGCAGGCAACAAGCAGTGTTGAAAGATAATTTCGTTTCAAAATTGGGCAAGGAAACTCTGAGCTGTGATTAAAGGAATTTATCTTAAATGTTGACTTAAATATGTTGCGCCCTATTATGTATACTATTCTCCATATAATGTCACAAAATTTGTTTATTTGTCTGGATGAAATTTATAGACATTCCAAGACTTTAATTATTTATAATTATATTTTTTATAGTTTCAACAACTTCTTTAGTCAGCGGGTTTCTCCTACCCCGCTGTACTCAACATCCCATCGATAATTCCTCACAATAGCTTCTACAGGAATGTCTTAAGATTACGCTATACATTATTTCTATAAGTTTCATCTTCAATACTGTTTTCTCTGTATTGCTTAACTAGCTGTTTTTTTATAATTTGTGCATTGTATCGCAATGCTCCACAAAACTACGAACAATTTTCTGGACTGCACAGTCTCCTCGGCTTCCATTGTCAATTTTTTTGGTAAAAGGTCCATAAATCACTCAGTGGACTCAACAGGTTGCCATTGGCCCAGTCAGCCCCAATAGTCTGCCCATTTTTCAAGTGCCTGCATTCAATTAACAGTAAAATTTATGTATGGGGAAAACTCTGGATTCGGATGCCCTCACTCCTCCCTCTTGGCCAACACACACATTCAGTAGAAAATTGTTCGTATCAACTGCCAACTGCAATTAAAAGGCAATGAATTTTGCTCTCTCTCTCTCTCTCTTCCTGTCCATCTCTCTATCCCCGCTCCCTCGCTCTATCGCCTTTGACTTTGCTGGCCTGCCAATGTGTGGGCGTTTCAGTGGTTGAAGGAGGCGTGGTCGTGCGTCTGGTCGCGTATGGCATTCGCCTTAAAAGTAAAACACTTAACTTAAATTGTGTTCAACAGCTGGAAATAAACGGCAGAGTTTGGAGAATAAGGAAAAAAGACGAGCATTGCTTTAATTTTCGGCATTATTTTCGTTAGCGATCCCCTCGCGCAGCAAAGCCAACTGCCCCACTCCAATGGCAAAAGCTGTCTCCTCCTCGAAGTGATTATAATTTATTGATTCCACGGGCAACGGGCAACATCTGCTCTGGGACTGTTTAAAAATAGTTTGTGCATGTTTTATGAGCATTTTATACATTTTATTTAAATTTTCAACAAAAGTTCCGACCCCTTCCGCACGCCCCTGATGCCAGCTACCCTTTAACCAATGCACAGAACATTAGCCAAAGCTGCTGTCGCCCTTTTGGCAACACATTTCACATTTTTCATTATTTCCACATTTTATGACAAAGTGGAATTTGAAAATGTCTCTGTTTTATTTTTGTTTCTGCCGCCAAACGAGCAGCTGCCGCTGCCACGCCCCCATCAGCCGCCCGTCTGCCCGCCACCTGCAGCAGCTTGCTAATAAAATTATTAACGTGTAAATTCCTGCGACTTATTTAGCTGCCAATTAATAAATTTTATATTCAGTTGCGAGTCGTTTGTTTTTCCTTCGTTTCTTTTTTTTTTCATTTCTTTTGTTATTTCAACGCATTCCACTGGAGGCTGCTGCTGTTTCCCACCCCTCCCTCACGCCTCACGCCCCACGCCACACGCAATATGTGTCTGGCATATTAATGAGCATTTGTTACACTTCTCGGCGGAAATTTATGTGTCCAGGTTAAATTCCTGGGATTTGTGTGCCGCTTCATTTGGTTTGTTCATTTGTTAAATTAATTTATGTTCCTGTCCGTAAAAATTCTTACAAAATATTTTGTGACATTGCCAAACAACGAAAGCAACGTTTTTATATAAATTGTGTTTTTTTAACCCTTTGATGTTTTTATTTTAGCATGTATGATTATGTCGAATCAAAAAAATTATGCAAGAACTCGACATGATTGTGTGTAAGAACGAGATCTTAATATTGCCAAGACAATGGGAATTAAAGGAAGGTCTATATAAGATCTATTTAAATAAAATTGAACATATATGTTAATTTAAAAACAATCCTACAGCTTTCAATTTTAATTAAATAAATATTAATTAAAATTTTATAAATTAATCTTCAGCTTTCTGACTTCAACCACGAAAGTGTTTTATAGCTGAGAGCAAACTGTTGCATATGCCTGTGCCTCTTTGCCTCCTTCAGTCGATCTATCTGTCTATCCCACCACATATTAGCATGCCGGACACGTTGCCCGGAGAAACACTTCAATAACCCAAACGCTCGCTAGGTTGGCCATAAATAAGTAGACCATTTGCCCAGTGCCAACTGCTGAAACACGCCCCCACATTAAACTTTGACCCATTTTGGAGCGCTCATTTGCATTCTGGCGCTGAGTCGTGGTCGGTGCTGTTGAACCCTTTTAAAATAATTTAAGAAGGAAATCTAGCTAAATATTTAACTGGCTCACACACGAAATTCAAGTTCCAGCCGCAACCCTAAGCCCTCAGGATGGCAGCCTAGAGATTTCCCAAAAAAAGAACAATGAGCACTCTAATTGTTATATGTTTATCCGCAAAGCAAACATGGCGGACACTATGAACTATGAGCACGCCGCATGACCTGCCCCAACCCTGGCCCCCCCGCACCTCAAGTGAAGCCCTGAGTCGCCCTGAGTTTCGCGCCCGGCGCCATTGTGTCCCAGTCCTGGCTCCGTGTTGGCTTTGGCGAATTTTTAATGTGCGCCACTAGCTCCAAAATGTATTTCACTTCATTTTTTATGTACGCGCCCTACGGCTGCCCGAAAAGCACAGTCCCCGAACTCCAACATTCATCTGCCAGCCCCGCTCAACCCTTCCAGCTGCACGAAAATGCTTGCCTTGGCGTCCGAAAAAAAGGTTTGCGTGCCAAATTATTGTGCCAGTGGCCCAAAGTTTTTTCTCTCCGGCTGACTTCTATTTGGCTTTTTTCTGTTGCTGTTGCTGCCATTTGGCAGCAGCAGCCAAAACGCAAAGTGCGTTGTACTCGACTCTTTTAAGGCTGCCCGTAAAAATCAATATTATTTCCTGGCGCACAACTCGGCGTATGAGCAATGTGACGAGGCAGTGCGGAAACGTAGCCTACAGGCCTCTTCGCCTCTTTGGCGAAGTTTATTATGCTTGAATTTATAGCTAATGTGGTGGCCA